AACTAATTTGATTGTTACAAGAGAGGAAACAAACTGATGGTAGTACTTGCATCAGAACAAGCAGATGGGAGTTTCCCTCTAAATCATACTAATCTTGTGTCATGTTACAGAAGGTTTATTCAACTTGAACTCTTAGACACTGTCAGATGCTAGAGCAGTGGGTGTTCTAGTAATGAAACAAAATACTTAAGATGATATTTTATTTGACTCCTCAGTATGAATGACCTTGTTTAAAAGGCAGAAGTCTGAATAGCACATTCATGTTTCTGATTCATTAATGCATGCCTATTGCTGCTGAAGGCTACTTGGGATACTACCATTGCAGCAGGAACTGGGCAGAAAATGTAATAGTTATGCACATACGGATTTGTTAGATGCAAATGTAAGTCAGTCACACAGGAGCTCATGCAAATGCACTATTATATGTCTAATGTGGCTAGAATGCTACTAGTCAGGATAGTCCATTATTAGTAAATGTGTCTGGCTTTACAGCTTTGACTCTCGCTAGTCACTATGTATTGGTGTTTAGCCTTTGATCTGTTTCCTCAGCCTGCAAAACTGAAGTATTAAATTCACTCAAGTGGACAGCTTGTTTACTGGCTTTCTGAAAACAGCTCTTCTGTCAAGAACTTGATGGCTAGAAATATTTCTGAGGATACATCGTGCAGGTCCTGATACAACCTTCTAACCCAAAGAACTTGACTAACTCTTCAAGCAGGCGCAGAGCAGCGATCAACAACCAACCTGCCTTGGTGGCGTGTTCAGCACTTGAACAGTTGCTGCGCTTCTGGTTACTACTTCATCCTAACAGGCTACATAGCACTTTGCAGTAAAAGACTCTCTTGTCCTCTCCTGGCCTCTCAGATTCTGATTTAAAGTTAATATTTACGTGCAGTAACTCTTCAAGCTAAATCATGTACTTGCGATGTCAAGGGACAAAGAAGGAGCACAGACTGTGAAAAGGACAAAGTATTAGACTGCTGAGCAGATGTTTAGTTTATCTACCTTGCCTCTGATTTTTTTCAGTGTCCCTAACCTCTTAGACAAGTTTTCATCAGCACTGAGGCAATTATCTTTGTCTGCTGAGGCAAAAAGCCTGTCTGCTGGGTGAGGATTATTGTCCAGTCTTTAAATCCTATGACAGACTATAGCTGTAATGAAGATTCTCAATCCTCTGTGCACAGGACAAAAGTATAATCTTTAAGGGTAAGTACCATGTTGCCACCCCTTGCTCAAATAAGGAATAATTGTGAAAGCATCTCTTAAGGGAAACAAAATGTTGCTCAACAAAATTGTTTGGCATGTGCTTCAAGTCTTGCTAAGAAACAGGTATTTCAGGGATGACTGGTCACTACCAACAGCTCTCCTTGTAGGGAGTTCAGAGAATACACCAAAAGCACAGTATGCCCAAAGTCTTACGACAGACTTTCCCAGGGTAGAAGTGTGGAAATTAAGTACAGTGCTTGAATGGAAAGTTGCCTGACTTGAGACAGTAGGTAGCAGCTCATACTTCAAAAGGTATGTGTTGAGGGCCTGAAATGACTTTTCCCTAGGGAGTGCTCAGTGCTCACTCTTCACAGGATAGTCCCAACAGGAAAGGAGGAAAATGCTATTAGTGGTCTCTCAACAAGCCCTTTCTGGAGTAAATTGAAAAGTGGGTGAGCAAAATGTTGTGTGTATCTACTGGTACAGGCAAGAGTTTGGGGCACCTCTCACAGGGCAGGAACATCTGTAAACCTGCAGTCTAAGACTTCTGAAATAGTGCACTTAGCATAGTAGTTAAAATGAGCCATACAACATACATAGTGAGTAACTAAGCTGTGGTGGTAACAATGGACTTAGCATGGAAAAGATTCAAATGCTGTGGGAATGATCTTGTTCTTCACTATGCCAGTATAACTGAAGGCATGCCTGTCCTTGCATAAAAGCACGTGCATTTCTAACTCTGCCATACTGCAGGTTGGCTCTTTGCAGACACTCAGCATTCAAGTGTTGTAGAACAGTTGTAGTCACTTGTTGCCTTACTCCTGCAGTCTGGATAAGGAAATACTAAGGGACTGAGTACGGTGAAAGGAAGCCTCATAGCAAGAACAAGAACTACAAACAGAATATTTAAACTTTCAGTTATTTGTATCTAGTGCACACCAGTGCTATCTGTTAAGATCAGCCAGACTTAAGTGTGACTAAGACCTTGCACAGCTTTAACTTGGGTCTAAGGCATAGAGTCTGAACTTAGTTGTGGCTGAGATTCTCACACCCCGGAAGTCTAGATTACTGCTAGCTCAGGCTACATAGTGTTGGTCCCGACCCCAGTGAAGTTTCAAGGTAAAGCCTGAGGCAGTTTTGTGCTAGTCTTGTGGCTTAACTAAGATGTCGAAGTAGTTATTTAAAATATGAAAGTGTATTAAGGCAGACCTTGTCTATCCTTGCGTTCTTAGTTTCAGTGATTGTCTTGCTCCAGAGTTAGGAATCCCAAAGATATTGGGTTCTACAAACGTGTGACAGATAACTGTCATGTACTGTGAACTCTCACCAGGTGAGATGAGCTATGCCAGACCTCAGATAGGAGAGTATGTCCTGCAAACTGTTCAGAAAGCCCTCACTAACTGTCTCAAATTGCATTGCTAACAGTAAGAATGAGCTTCTCTGTGGTAAGAAAGGGTATTTGCAAGGATCCAGCCAGACTTGCATGTATCCCTGCCCACCTGTGCTGTCTGTATCTATGCAAAGAAGTGGTCTAGTTTCTGTAAGATGTAGGGAGATGGCAATAATGGAGGGATGACTAGAGTTTAAAGATACCAACTGCCCATCTGTATTTCTACTACTTTACAGTAACCAAGGTGACATTTTTCTTGTGCATGTGTGTTCCTCCCTAGGTTATTTCCTTGTTATTGCCTCTTAAGTTTACTTCAGAGAGAGGTACTTAGCTCTGGTTGTATAACACCGAAGCTGGGTGTAGCTCTACCAATGAAATTTGGGAAGCAAGAACACTGACAGGCAGTACTCAGTGCCTTGAGGTTGTTATTTCTTCTTCCAGCATGGAGCTGGACAGAATGTCCTAAAGTGATGACTCGGCTCCTAGGGAGCATGCTCTACGTCTGTTCTTCTCCAGGCCTATTCCTTCTGTTCTCTAACAATAACCTTTCAGATGCAGGTGGGTGGTTAACCTTAACTCTGTCTTTCCTTCCTCTCTGTTTCTGAAGGACGTGATAAATCTGGGGAGAGGCTCATTATGCTGACATCTAAAGACTACCTCCACCCAAAACTATACTATCAGGCAATCTAGTCTAGTTTTAGAGTAGAATTCACTTGGCTTCATCACTCTTACAGTGATAACATTTCCTAGATAACCGTGGCTTGCTATATCAACTCTTTATTTCTGTTCAGAACCACTTGAAATTTACACAGCAACGTCTTTCTTCCCTTGCATCAAATGTTTCCTAGCTGTGGCCAGGTAATTTGCTTACGGAGGAGAACAGGTATAGCTGCCAGAGATCTTTCCTCTATGACCACTTTTATCTCCGGTTTACTTGAGCAATGCTAAACGCAATCCACAAACCATCTGGTAAGTAGCTTGATCTAACTTTGCTTCCATTAACAGCTGGTTCCCTAAAGGCCTCCCTCCTGGATAAATGGAAGTGGAGGCCTTCAGGCTGAAATGCGCTCCTAAAGACCTAGGAACCGGTGTTCTTCCGAGGTTAAGAATCAGTTAAGCTTTGACATCCGTTACTCTGTTAGTGGCAAGCTGGATGAGTCAATCTGTAGCTATTGACTTAATAATGAATTGAGGGAAAAGGGTAAGGCAGGAGTGAGAGCAAAACCCTGGGAGTAACTTGCAAGTAATGAGTAAAGCATTAGCTGTAACTAAGGCAAATGAGGAATAGGCTGTTGAGAATTGCAGGCTTCTAATTCTAGAGGATTTGCAATGCTTCTGCACTTGTATCTAGGTACATAGTATGTCTCAAATCGTGTGCTGGATAAAGAGGGCAGCTAGGTCTGTGGCTGCTTACCTGGATATAGGGGAAATTAGTAGTAGAGGGTAGCCCAGCTACTTAATCATCTAAATAATCTCTTGGCTTCATTTGTCACCCTAAAATTCGAGTGATTAACTGAAGCCACTGTGATACCCCAGACAGAAGATTTGTAGAACAGTTTCTGTAGCCGATGTGACTGTCCAGTTCTTTCTGGCTCAGTATAGATGATCTTGAGAACTCCACAAAGACAATATGAGTCCCTCTATTTGCTAAGTGCAAATCAATGCTTCAGCTGTGTAGAAACAAAACACAGTGACTGCAGGTTATTTTTTTTAATACGTATTTTATCTCAGAGGCAAAAGAGTCTCATGGCACAGAGTTAAGTCATACTAGTCCATAGTTTCTGTTAACTTGAGGGTTTTGTTTTTTTAAACCTAAGGTGACTTTATTACTGTTAAGACTAGAGTGTGGGGGTTTGGATTTGGGTTTTGTTAAGGTCTTTTCCTGGAACAGTCTGTCTGCAGTCTAAGGAATTTATTTACTTTTACCTGTTGGGTGGTATAACCTCAGACTTCTGCTAGTTATAGAAGCATGAATAAGATCTAGTGGCTTCTTTTGAGTGTCTGGTATTGTCTTCATCGGTGTTTGGAACAGATATTGGCAAATGTTTCTTGCATCCTCTCCTGTAGAGATACAGCTGGCAGTGCTAAAGGAGAACAGAGCAAAATATCTGAAGTTCTATAAATAGCTTTAAAGGATGAAAAGCTAAAGGTTGAAATATTAAAATAGGGTGATGCAAGTACAGACTGTGCATGTAGGTCAGTGTCATCTCCTGATTAGGTATTATTGAGTGAGGGTTCATCACCTAGTGGCAATACCTTCATGCTCTGTGTAGCCTGAGATGAACAGACGGTGAGTCAGACTTCCTATATGATTACTCCTAAAACTTTTAGGCATTAGAGGGCTTCAGTGTGCAGCAGAACAAAACTGGACTAACAGGTTTAATAACAATATGTCTTCTTTAACGTAAAATAATGTGTCTTCCTACTGATTGTTATTTCCATTTTTAAACACTATAGCAAGCATAGCTGGCCACCATCTCATCATGTCTACTGAAGATGAAAGTACTATCAACAGCCAGCCTGAGCAACAGGCTCCACCAAAAGCTCAACCTTCAAGGAAGGAAAAAAAGAAAGGTAAGAAATACTTACCTCTTGAATGCCTCCTCTAGTCAGCATCCTTAATCTTTTGCACTTCACTAAAACTGATCACTTGCACACCATAGTTCAAATAACTCTGACGTTTCAAGCTGACTGGAAGAGTGAGTAAATAAGCCAGTAAAATAAATCTGACTGGAAGGTAGGCTCTTATCTTGAAATTTTTTTGGTGAGTTTTTTGTTTTCCTAGCTTTTAAGTTCTAAAGCTCTCAGCTCCGCTTGTTAAGACTTATTTGCTGAACCTGACAAGTCACCAAAAGCCCAAAGAATTGAAAGCCTCCTGAGGAGGTAACCAGACCGAGGCCATACAGGCAGCTGTCAGTCTGAACCTGAATTTGTTTCGTCCCCTCCCTCTGGAAGAGGGAGTGATGTGCTGGACAGATACAGATTCTAGTCCAGAAAAGCTAGAAAACTCATTTTGTGAGAATTACTGTAGATCAGATAATAGATTTTTTGATAGAGTAGGTCATATAAATATAATTACCTCATACAGAAATACATACTTAGGTACACACTTGGAACATGTTGAGCATGCAAGAGCAGAAAAGCAAGTAGTTCTGAGAAGTAGTGGAACAGCAGAAATAGCAAATTAGCTGAAAACCCAAGTGATTACAGCGATGGGGGTACCAGATCTTGTTGCAGAAATGATGCTGCTGATAGAAAGTTCTAGCACAGGAACTAGGAGATTTTTGCACACCAAGAAGAGGTCTGACTACACCAGAACTAGGGGCTAACATTTGAAAGGTTTACTGAACATTTTGTATGGCCATGGGAAGTACCATTTCTGCATGGTGTTTTTGCTTACCACTTATACCTACTTGGCTGTTGCTGATAAATATTTTAGTCTTTTATGTGGAAAACAATTGTTCTGTAGTCCCCAAATATTAAGCACTAGGCTCCACTCTTTGAACTAAGGTTAGATTCTGCAGGAGCACTGCGACCTTAAAGGAGTAACTGTATTGCAGTGCATGTAGTACTGGAAAGACTGAGGGTTGTTAGTCAGCTATACTCAAGGGACAGTTTTAATATGTACTTATATGGTATATTTCTTTTTGAAATTATTTTTGAGAGAACTGGCTGTGTTGTAGCTTTGACATCTTAAAAACCCAACAAAAATCTGTCTCCAGGGCCAGAGAAGACGGATGAATCTCTCTTGGCCAGATTCAAAGGTGATGGTGTAAGATACAAAGCTAAACTGATTGGCATTGATGATGTCCCAGAGGCAAGAGGAGACAAAATGAGTCAGGATTCAATGATGAAGCTGAAGGTAAGGGCTTGAGCTGGCATGAAAGAAACAACTTCTTGGTAGCCTCCAGAAAGCAGATTAAATGGTCACTTTGGCACAACTTCAAATACACCTTAGTGGTAACATAGTAGTAACAGCACCATCGTAGGTGGATGTTACTTCTGAAGCTGTAATCCCTTGCTCAAAGGACAGTGTTTCTCTAATAGCTTGGGAATGCTCCTTTGGGCCTCTTGTAGGCATCCGATATGGATGCTGATAGTATGAACTTGGTCATAAATGGTGAGCTTGGGGTTTGGGGGGTGGGGGTGCAGAACTCTGTGCAGTTTAACACTGACCTCAAAGCACAAGTTGGGATCCTGTGGCAGTATTGACACCAAGAGATAGAGATAAAGAATAAAGGAGACCCTCTGCAGCAATAAAGATAATTACTTCTGGACTACAGAACACTCACGTAGCTTTAGTCAGGCCAGGAAAGCTGGTAAAGATGCTGCTACTGCAACAGTTTTGTGAGCTAAGATAAAAAGGTTTAAATCTCCAAAACATTTACAGAGGAAACACAATCTAGTTCTGAGGTATCACTTCAAACCTAGTCAGGTGTATGTTGCAAAAGGAATGCTGCTCGAACTGTACAGTTGCATGGGAATAACTACATTAGTACTAGTGTAGTCATAGCCATGGGTTCATGAGGAATGTGAGGAAACAAGTTAGAGCTCAATCTAACAGAAGTCTCATCCATACTTTGGTATTCATCCTCTTTAGGGAATGGCAGTGGCAGCCCGGTCCCAAGGTCAACACAAACAGAAGATCTGGGTGAACATCTCCCTCTCTGGTATCAAGATAATAGATGAGAAAACTGGGGTAAGATATGACTTACGCTCTTAATGTGATCCTTAAGCCAAGTGAGGCACCTGAAGTGAGACCAGTCTGAACTATATGCCTTAATGGCATTGTGTCCTACTTCCACATATAAAGTCTGGCTTGTGAAATAGCTTGTAAGGCTGAAGCCTCCTGCCAGAAAGATAGCTACATCCTATTGTGGTTAGTCAGACTGATAAATCCGAGTCTTGAACTGAAGCCTTCTAACAGTCTCAATCTTTCTAACTACAGAGAAGAGTAGCTATTATGTCTCCAGCAATTTAAACAAATAGGGTTTTTTCTTCCCAATTCTAGGTCATAGAGCATGAGCATCCAGTAAACAAAATCTCCTTTATTGCTCGGGATGTAACAGACAATCGTGCCTTTGGCTATATATGTGGAGGAGAAGGCCAGCACCAATTTTTTGCCATAAAAACAGCACAACAGGTATGGATCAGATGCCCTTTTCCATTTTCTATGAGTAATGCTGTTGTATAAACACGTAACATGTAATGAGAGTGTAGTGTTTTGCAGGTAGCCCTGTGAGGTACAGGGGAATTCCAACACAGATGGATAGACTCTTATCTTAGAGGGGGGCAGTAGGAATTGACTGTATCACCAATGGCTTTTATCTTGTTCAGCTTCTCTGTGGTCCAGAATAAAAACACTCAAGTAGCCTTGCCTGCTATGATCTTACTTAGCATGTCCATGTACCATAGAAGTATTAGTGAGATGAACGGAGCTGTTATCGTGGGCTTTCCTGTACAGTGGCCTATTACTGTCAGCGAGAATGCTAATTCTTGGGTCAAATAGCCAGAGCTTCACTCAGAATTAACAGGAATGATGTCAGAACTCCACTACTCTAGTTCTCATGATGCTTTATCTGATGCAGCAGTGAAAACAGATTTAATTGCAATGGTATTTGTGGGGCCAGTAGATGGCAGATCTGGTCCCCCTAGAGTTACTCCTGGGAGGAATTCTGATCCTTTTGTGGTAGGTTTCCCCTATGCGTAAATCCTGTACAGAGGGTTTATCTTTCTGAAGAGAATCTGTACATAAGCAGTATTGAAAACATGATACTTGGAATTACTGCTGAGTATTATACAGCTTCCTAAATGACCTGAACTTAAGTTACATATTTATTGTTTATGAACATGTCATTATAGTGACTATAATAAAGATGTAATGACTTGAGGAGCCAAGACTTCAAAGCTAGTAATTTCTTCATACGCATCCCTGCCTGCCCTCCTGGAGATCTTGTTGGCAGCTTCAGACCCGCTACAGGTGGGACTGAGGGGCTCCTTGTTGGAGCGTATTAATACTCTGATAAACTAACAAAGCAGGCTTAGGAGAGGGTGTTACAGCTGTTAAGAGGCCTGTGTTGTATTGGTTTCACTGGAATTGTAGATCAAGTACAAAAGCCTTCTGTGTGTGCTCTGCGGTGGAGTCTGTTCTCTCAGAGCTTTTCACCATGCGCTGCTGCTTGGCAGCCTATAAGCTTAGCCAAGCTGTAGACAGCTCTTGACTTGCTGCTAGTTGTGTTTAACACAAACATGGCTAGCTGAGAAGTAGAGACTTCTGCAGCTGGACATTGCTGCAGCTGTACTTTTTGTCAAAGGTGATAACTCCTGAAATGACTTTTTCTGCAGTTGCACGTCTAAAGCCCTTGATTAGGAGAGTATGATGCTCAGACATTAACAGTGAGATCTGTTCATCAGATTCTCTGCTTGAGCCAAAGGTAGTGGCTGAACAAGGGCACTTATCCTATTCTAGATGCTGACACAGCTGCTACATGCCTCAAGAAAAAATTCCAGGTCAGTATAGCTGAACCTGCCACCATCTCAGCAACCATTCAAATCATTCTTGTTAGTGAGTGTGCGGGGAATGCAGTGCCTTTCTAATTCACACTAAACTTTCATCCTGATACAAATACCACTTAAAGCTGGTGTCAGCTCTACACATTTGAGTCGATAATAATCTTACTTCATGCTTGCCTCACTGATCTACTATTTGCCTTCTGTTTAAAGTAAATGTAGTATTAACTATAAAAGCTTTCTCCAGGTTCAGTGTTGGAGTTCGTAGAAAACACAGATGCAAAATGTCTTTTGTCTTGTGAGACTACCAGAGAGCTTGGGTAAACTTTGCATTTTTGAGGAAATATGATTAGGACTTGCCATGCACTTATGAAATCTTGCATTACAATATTTTTGGCAAAACATAGCTGGCTTAGCACAAATACAGCCACTTTCCCTGTGGAGTTAACAGGTCTAACCTGGTTGTGCCCCATTACCCTTGGATTCTGCATAATCTCTTGTGTGGAGACTAGACAGTCCTTTAAACTCTTGCTTTTCCTGTTATCTCAACCTTACTGTTGCATCATTTCGGAAAGTTTGGCTTGGTGCACACCTTGCTTCAGTGTAAGTCCAGGGAGAAGTAGTGCAAGGCCTAAAATCTACATTCTTTTTCAGGCTGAGCCTCTGGTTGTTGATCTTAAGGACCTCTTCCAACTAATATATAATATGAAGAAAAAGGAAGAAGATGACAAGAAAAAGGTGAGTGACTTGTAGAAACTACATTAGTCTTCATAGAAATAAAGCTTGCTTCAGCTTTGGCTTGGCTTTTGGGCTCTTGTAAGACTTGATGCTGAGATCTGTCTAAATCGAGGATCACCTGAAGCTGTTGTTTGATAGTTGTACCAACAGTTTGATTACCTGCTAGATCTGGCAAGCTCTCCAAAGTGAGAGGCTTTGGAGAGCCTACATGATGTCTAGGTACTAAAAGCCTTCTTTTCTTGTTTAGACTGAAGAATCAAGTGAGACTGAGGTAAGTCACTCCGACTCAACCTCACGTGATTAGGTATGCTGCTGCAACATAACTGGCTTTGACTTTCTTTACGCTTCTAACATTATGGAGGAAATGTCAGATGCCCAATTACCCTGAAATGGGAGTAAAAGGGGCCTACAGAACTAATACTGAGTAGTGATTGCCCTCATACTTCCTGTTTCCGTCACTTGCTCTTTGAAGCCTGCAAGTCCCTTGCTTAAGGCAACTTTTGATATTCCAGTTATTGCTGATGCTCTTATTCATCTATTACAGAATGATAGTGAAGCACTACCTGCTGATCAAGCTGACAAAATGAAACTGGTAGGTTAAATTCAAGAACTTTATGCTGATGCCATGCAGAATTTCATAACTGACTGTACCCACACTGTGTGGGAAATGCAGTATTTATGCAGGTCTACTGTAAAGACATCTATAATGTTTGATTCTTGCTTTTGCAAGAACTCTAACAGATACCAATTCTTTCAATATTTCTGGCTTCAAGGGAGTTGACCAGATGGACTTGTTTGGGGATATGTCAACACCTCCTGATATGAGCAGTCCCACAGTAAGTAGAATCTAGCTTAGCTGTCTTGGTTCTTGCTTTGAGAGCAAACTTAGTCCTAGTAATAAGATCTATTTTTACTTTGTTAATCCTGGTTTTACTGAGACATCTGTCTAGCTATCATCAATGTTCTAGTGTCTTAGGCCTACAATTTTATCTACTTACTAACTAGAGTGGCTAATGTCATTCTTATCCAGCAGAGTTCACCTGAGACTGCATGAAAGATAATCTTGTATTATTAGTCATAGAATGGGTTTAGGTTGGAAACCCAGAAGATTATCCATTTCCAACCCCGCTGCTATGGGCAAGGACACCTTCCACTAGACCAGGTTGCTCAAAGGCCCGTCCAACCTGAACTTGAATGTTTCCAGGGAGGGGGCATCCACAACTTCTCTGTGCAACCTGTTCCAGTGTCTCATCACCCTCACAGGAACAAATTTCATTCTTTCTTATGTCTAATGTAAATCTATCCTCTTTCAGTTTAAAACTTACCACATGTCCTGTCGCTACACTCTGTGATAGTCCCTTTCTGTCTTTTCTGTATGCACCCTGTAAGTACTGGAAGGCTGATATAAGGTCTCACCAGAGCCTTCTCTTCTGTTATACTAAACTGTCCTCATGGATAACGGAGCAGGACAGAGCTGGCAGATCTTTAAGGACGCTTTCCATACAGTGCAAGAGCTTTTGATTCCCAGGCATAAGAAACCAGGAAAAGAAGGCAAGAGACTGGCATGGCTGAGTTGAGACCTGTTGGTCAAACTAAAGGGCAGAAAGGACATGCACAGGCAGTGGAAGCAGGGACGGGTATCCTGGGAAAAGTACAGGGATGCTGCCCTGTTGTGTAGCGATGGGGTCAGGGAGCCAAGGCACAGATGGAGCTGAACTTGGCAGGGGATGCAAAGAATAAGAGGGCTTCTACCGGTATGTGAGCCGGAAGAGGAAGGTCAAAGAAAGCTTACCCCCTTGATGAACATGACTGTGAAACTGGTAACAACGGACAAGGAGAAGGCTGAGGTACTCAACTTTTTTGCCTCAGTCTTCACTGGCAACCTCTTTTCCTGCACCTCTTGAGTGGATGGACCACAAGGTAGGAACTGGGGGAGCCAAGTCCCTCCCACTATAATAGATGATCAGGTTCATGATCACCTGAGGAACTTGAAGTCTATGGGAACTGACAAGATGCATCCCAGAGTCTGGAGGAAACTCTGAGGTAGTTGCCAAGCCACTCTCCATGATATTTGAAAAGTCCTGGTAGTCAGGTGAAGACAGTCAGGTGGAGACTGGATAAAGGGAAACATTGTGCCCATTTTTACCAAGGCTAGAAAGGAGGATACCGACCTATCAGCCTCCCCTCTGTGCCTGGGAAGATCATGGAACAGATCCTCATAGAAGCTCTGCTAAGGCACATGGAGGACAAGGGAGTATTTGAGACAACCAGCATGGCTTCACCAAGGGCAAGTCCTGCCTGAGAAACCTGGTGGCCTTCTCTGATGGTGTGACTACATCAGTGGATAAGGGAAGAGCTATGGATGTCGTCTATCTGGACTTCTGTAAGGCCTTTGACATGGTCCTGCACAACATCCTTCTCTAAGTTGGAGAGATATGGATTTGATGGATGGACTGTTTAGTGGATAAGGAATTTGCTGGATGGTCGCATCCAGAGAGTAGTTATCAACAGCTCAATGTCTGCATGGAGATTGTTGACAATTGGTGTCCCTCAGGGGTCCCTGTTGGGACCAGTGCTGTTCAGTATCTTCATCAACGACATAGACAGTGGGCTTGAGTGCACTCTCAGCAAGTCTGCAGATCTCACCAAGCGGAGGGGTGCAGCTGACACACCTGAGGGACAGGATGTCATCCAGAGGGACCTGCACAAGCTTGGAAAGTGAGCCTGTGTGACCCTCATGAGGTTCAACAAGGCAAAGTGAGGGGTCCTGCACCTGGGTTGGGGCAAGCCCTAGTATCAATACAGGATGGCGACTGAAGGGCTTGAGAGTGTCCCTCTGATCACTTTTGTGGCCCTGCTCTGGACCCAGTCAAGCAGGTCTATGTCTTTGTTATGCTGAGGACTCCAGAGCCAGATGCAGTACTCCAGGCAGGGTCTCACCAGAGTGGAGTAGAGAGGGAGAATCACCTCCCTCGACCTGCTGGCCACGCTGCTTTTGATGCAGCCTAGGATGCAATTTGCTTTTCTGGATTGTGAGTGCACATTGGATGGAAAACTGAATATGAGCCACCAACAGTACCAAGTGCTTATCCACAGGGCTGCTCTCAGTCCACTCATTGCCTAGCCTGTATCCATGTTTGAGATTGCCCTGACTCAAGTGCAGGACCTCACATTTGGCATTACTGAACTTCGTGAGGTTTGCACAGGCCCAGCTTTCTAGTCAGATGTCTTAGAAATCAGTCCATGCCTCTGCTGGTGTGAAAGACATTACAGAAACTCTGCCAAAGATATTTAAAGCTGAAGCTCACTTTATGGACAAGTGAATCCTTACGTAAGTCCCTCTCCAGACAAGCGTACATAAATCTTGTCATAGCTCAGTACAACACCAAAAATCCTGCTGTTTTTTCATGGTATTGTAAACCACCATCAGCCGTTGTACAAACAGTGCTGTCAATCCAGCTAGCAACCAAGTCTCACCCTTCTGTTGCCTGCTTGGTGGAGAGATAGCATGTTAAGATCTTCCACTGGCACATAGCTCTCTAATCTTATTCCAAAGCTGGGACTGCAACCTGAAGTCACACTAAGGCAGTGTGATTTCACAGCTGGTCAAAACAAAGGACCAGAACTCAAGCAGGGGTTCTTGAGTCAAGTGAAAGCCTAGGTATAATTAGTGCTTAATGACTCTACAGCCTCTAGGCTGCACAATGTGGATCTGATATTTAACTAATATCTTAAAACAGGTGCTCTTAATACTGAGTTTCTGCAACTAAGTAGCTGTGATTTGACCACAGCTAGCAGTGCTTGTCTTAATGACTTCTAAGATGAAGCTTTATTGCAACTTGACTGTGACACTGAATACTTGTTGGTATAATGTGTTGGATGTTGGTGTCTCTCCTTTTGCAGCTATTTTCCTTGAGCTTGTGTACTATGCAGCAAGTCCTACATAACACTAACTTTATTTTTCTTTCTGAACAAATAGGAAGCTAAAGAGATTCTGTTAGTGGATCTAAATTCTGAAATTGAGACCAAACAGACTTTTACAAAAGAGGATCTCTTCTTGAATGGCATCACAACCTCTGTTCCACAACCAAAGCCACAACCATCCTTCTTGCCTGAGAGTTCTTTCTCTGCCAGTCTCAGCTTCTTTCCCACACCTAATCCAGACCCTTTCAGTGATGATCCTTTCGCACAGCCAAACCAATCTGCACCAGATTCATTTGATTCTCTAAAATCTGCTGATCAGAAGAAGGAAAGTCCAAGTACCTTGACATCGGTGGGTAATGGTGCTTCAAATGGTGATACTGACTACTTTGGTAAACAGTTTGACCAGATTTCTAACAGAACTGGCAAACAGGAAGCACTAACAAGCCAGTGGCCACTTGAGAGTAAGTCGCCTGCAGCAAGAATTCAAAATGGGGTACCAGAAAGAGAACAAAATGGCTTGCTTAACGCCCCATCAAACCTGTTTGTGGAAGGTCCTTCCAAAGGTGTATCTCTGCAGAATGGAGTAAAGCTGGATTTTGAAAGCAATACCCAGCTCATGTCACACGAGTCTATAACAATTAGCCCACCACCACAAAGTACCAAGCCAGGAAGAGGAAGGAGGTCTGTCAAGGTGAACAATGTTCAAGTAATTAATTGTAATATGCATGCTCTTACTTAAGAAGCTGGGTGAAAGAACCTTTTTTTTTAGTAGTGTGTAACTGGCTAAATAGCTTCACAACACATCTAATTCTCTTCTACCTGCCAAGCTTACTCTAACCTTTCTGCAGCCATGGTATATTCTAACCTTCATGAATGCTTCACAGTAGCTATGGTCACTAAATCATATACTCTCTTCCTTAATGCTGCCATACTTCTGTAAAGGTCTGGTAAGTATGCTGCTATGTATATTGATGCTTGATGTAGTGCCAGAACCTGTTATGATAGCTGTATGCCCATCAGCCTGTTGTTTTGTAACAATGAGGTACTAGCACTAGCTTACAGAAACCTATGTAGTGTCTCAGTACCTCGCTACTGAGAGCAATCCCAGTGACTTGCTTGATTAGACTCAGGGTGGCTCTGGGTCAGCTGCATTTGTCTTGCACTCACATGATGCAAAGTTCAGTTACTGACCTTACCGCAACTGCAGGGGTCACTGCAGGCTGAGCAGGAATATCTAGAGAAGGACAGGGCAGAGGGAAACTCATTATGATAGCAAATAACTCAGTCACTTTAAGTCTTATTCTTCTGCTGTTGATTTGTGACTACTGTATATTATGCCTTCTAAATGCCATGCATCTTAGTAGGCATGAACAAAATGAAGTTTGAAAGTCTTATACTTGGTCTCTAAAGGATACATCAAAGCTCCCTGCTCTGCTCTAGCTGAAATAAAAGCTTGTAGCTCTGACCTAGGGAGTCTTGATGATGCTAGCATGTGTTCTGCCATGTAATCTCACAAAGCTTTTTTTCTTTCTAGACTACATCGAGTGACTTATTTAGCTCAGAATTCTTTGTGCCAACTGCAGAGAGCCTTAGTTTGAACTCATTGCCACCTGGGTCACTGGACCTCTTCCAGACGAATCCTACCACAGCACCTGCATTGGTTACTCAAGGTTAGTTCACAAGGCGAATGTCTCGCTCTGGTCTAAGATACCTGCTAATGCCAAAACAGGCGTTCTAGTTTTCCTTTACTTCATGTGCAGTGCCATACCCTTTAATCCATGTACTGTCTGCCCTAAACTACTAAATTCTGTGAACAGAGGCCTAAACTCTGCATCCTAAACTAGAACAGGCTTTTTGCTTAAACTTTGACAGCAGGCTGCTGCTAAGGTACACAAGGTGCAAATGAGCCAAGCACAACTTGGGAGGCTAAGGTAACATAGCTACAGAGTCTTAATGGTCATTTACACAGAAGTAACTATAGGCAAATACATCTGTCGCTTCTGTGCTAGGACTAAGTATGTACCTCCTTCTGTTACATCAACCTCAGTCCTGTTCTTCTGGGACTGAAATGGAACAAGGTTAAAAAATGTTAACCTTCTACTCTGCTCCCTCTCAAGTTACTGGATTTGTAGGTGTAAATCAGAAGATTTTTGCAAACAGCACATGAAAAATACTTTGCTGGAACCATCAGTGGAATTTATATACTCCCGCTTGAGGTCTTCAGATCGCTAAAGTACTAATAACAATCTCCCCACAGGTGGCATTCCACTAACTCCATCACCATGGAATACACAGACACCTGCCTTCACTCAGGCTGCATCAGTCTTTGCTGGATCTGTGATGCCTGCTCAGTCTACGGGATTTACTCAGCCACTAGCCTTTCATGCTCAAGCAGTGCCAAGCTGGAACCAGCCTGCATCTTTTGGTCCAGCAGCCCCTCAGTGCCCTAGTATCTGGGCAAAGCAAGCACAAGTTCCATCTAGTTCATGGCCACAGCCATCCAGTGCTGTAAATCCCTTCCAGAGTAGTTTATTCCCATCTTCAACACTACCTGCTCAGACATCATCTGTACTGCCCTCCATGTCAACAACTGGCCCACCTCAGCCACCACCTAGAGCTGCACCTCAGAAGGATCTATCCAAGAAAGAGAGTGATGCTTTTACTGCTCTGGATCCACTTGGTGATAAAGAGATGAAAGATGTCAAGGAAATGTTCAAAGACTTCCAGCTGACAAAACCACCTGCAGTACCAGCAAGGAGAGGAGAGCAGCAAAGCCTTTCAGGTGCTTCTGGAGCTTTTCAATTATTTTAGTAGTAAAGTAGACATTCCTGGAGATAGTACAGATCATGATGACATGAAAGCTAGAAAGCTGTCTGCCAAAATGAATAGTAATTTTTTTCCCCTCCTTCTGCTTGGATAGCTGCTCAGAGATTGAGAAGACTGATAATTAGTCTTTTCTGGTAGAACTAAAAATCTGATTTAATGGTTACTGAAACAGCGTTGAAGGACTGTCTTCCCTAAGAATGTTGCAGAATTGATCAATGTCAGTGGCCAAACACTGACACCTAGTGCTTAAACTGACTAAAATGAGGTAAGCTAGGTCTGTACAGTGTTAGAAGTCTGACCTAGCTTAAGTGTAGTGAGAGACAAGCAGGAGATAAAATTGTGAGGTCACTCAAAGCAACTTCTGTGTGGGGTTTTTTGTGTATCGAGTTAGATGAGCTTTGTTGCTATACAGGCAGAGCTGAGTACTTGTTAAAGCTGTTAAGTGATTATAGCACTATGTCTCTTTTGCTTAGAACCGCCAAAGCCTGTTCCCCGACAGAGTGTGCTGCCAGCTGATGACCTGTTTGAAAGTCAAGCTAAAACAGACCTTTTCTGTGCTTCATCTGTAAGTAGTAAAAAAACCCAACAACAAAAAACCTCACCCAACCTTTCTTTCCCCTTAACAACAGGGGTGCCTGTGTTTGAGCACTGGATTAGTTCTGGCTGTAGAGGCTGTGGAACAGAACTTCTTGCATGTCTGAGGCTAATATTTAATCTGACAGAGGTCACTTTTTGCAAGAAGGCTAACAAAGTATGATTCCATTTGGCTTGGGTCCCTAAACAATTCCCCAAGCTGCAAGACCTAGCAGGAAGTGTTTCAGTGTCAGAAGCTTCTACAAAAGACTGAAGAAAAAAAGTAGCTGCAAAAGTCTTCCACTTTGGTTATACTTATCTTTCTGTGGAGCAAACTGACAAGTGCAGACTGTGCAGCTCCCCCGCTGAACAAATGGAAGGCTCCGATGTTCAGTACCCCCAGGGAAAGGAAGTGGCTTAACCAAATCGCTCCCTTTGGGACATAGCACTTGAAGCCCTTGGTGGAAACTCTAGATCAATTCCAGAATACTGGCTGAAAACATCTAGCATTTGGCTAAAACAGATCTCGTCGTGGCTACACTGGCTCGGCTCCAAATGGGTGTTCAGTAAGCACACATGGCTTTTCCGAAAGATGCCTTGTTTCAGACTAGACTAACTGCTAACAAGGCTCTAGGGCCCTTTTCTCTTGTCAAAGCAGTGCAATTAATGCCTGTTTCCCAGGGACTCTGCAGTATTCTTTCCAGAAGTTTTTTGGAACAGGAACTAGCTGATAGAGCCATGCAGAGTAAACCTGGTGAAACATGGAAATCCTCTAACAGTCTGTGATCTCTATTTCCTTAGGAAGAATCTCAGAAACCACCTTCTGGTCCTTTTGGTGACCCTTTTGGCAACCCATTTGCATAGATCAGGTAAATCTTCCACTAATAAGACAACCTACACCATTCTCTGAAATAGATTCAGAAATCATTCAGTAAAGAGATGGCTAAAAACTACACTGGCTTAAATCTAATGCTCCTCTGAAGCATGGCAAGCAGTCCAAAGAAACTTCTGCTAGAGTATCTCTAGTCAGGCTTGTCTATAGCTGCATTCTGGCTAAGCCTGGCCAGCTTTACTTTCATAGAAATTGATTTTATTCTTTCACTAGCTTGAGTCTCAAGGCCATAATAGATCTAGATTTCCTTTCACTGAGGAAAGTTAATGAAGAAATATGTGCTGCAAAACTCAGAGGCTGCCTAAATTCCTTCAGGTATCTCTTTAGGAGAGTGTTAGCACATAGTGTCCCATACAGCTTTCTGAAGTTTAATCACTTAAATAATTGCAGGTTTTTACTCTGTGGGAATTGAAGTAAAAACAGCATAAGGGCCCTTATGAGAGCTTTTTTTACTAGAAACTCAAACTTTTGTACCAGTGACTAGAGAACTTTAACTGTCAAACTAGCGAATCTATTCCTCTGTCGCACATCAAAGTCTACCCCTGAAATACTGTCTGGCTTCTGTTAGAAGAGAATTGTTACTAATTATTGCTTTAGACTTGTTCACAGTGGATTTAAGCTAGTTTAAGTTATACTATTATTGCTTATAGCCATCATAACCTTACGTCCTTTTTGTCATCCTAGGCATAACTAGAAAAGAACAAATGGAGTAACTGGACCTCTTCTCAACATGATTTTCCTACATGTTTCACTTTGCTGTCTACAACTCTTGCTGCTGTTCCATGATGTCTGTAATCTAAAACATGTCCAGGTGGATTGAAACACGAACCCTCAAAGAACATGCTGTGAAGATGATAATTCAAGGCAAAGCAAATGGAGAGTTGGACTCATGCTGGAGACCCAAATTCAAATTGGCGGATGTTAACTTTACTTTAGTTCTTTGCAATCCTCCACAGAAGAGCTTAGCAGCACTAAGTCATGCCTCTTGTAAACATGGTCACAACAATTCCTCATTCTGTAGCACTTACTGTCCTAAAATACAGGAACTGAATGTACCTGAGGAAGAAGTGTTGCTTTCACTTGAGGGAACTGAATTAGTAGCTAAAACTCCACACCTTGTACAGCTAGGTTGGCTGCCTGTTATCACAGCAGCAGCCAGTTGTAGGGTTAAGTGGATACTACTCAGTTCTAGTTGGTGACTGGACGTATGACTTGGTCTCTGAGCCACAAAGATGTAAACTGTATGGTGGGGGGAAAAAAAATCCAGTACTTGTCTATTAACTAACATTAAAATTAACATTCTGCCATAAGCATGTAATTAAGAGACTAACTGTGGGGTCTGTAACAGAACTACTGGAGTCCTGAGTACTAGAGGTCTACACTGTAGGGGCAGATAAGCTGAAACACCACTTGCAGCACATTGAGGTAGTCATGGACACTAACTATTGTCTTGGTGCTAATATGTTTTTTTCAGGGAGGGAAATCTGCAAGGATTAATTTTGTATTAAGGTGGCTTGACAGATAAATGGAACAAGCAGATAGGCTTCTTGTGTGTATCTTGATGAATGTCCCTGATGTTTCTCGGTTTGGGTTGTCACATGGTGTAGCATGGCATTTTTCCAGTGTGTTAGAAAGTAAAAAGACAATCATGGCTTCACTCCGTGCCCAGATTCCTCGTGAACAGATGCACCACCTCTGTGCCATTAATGTGAGGTAGTCCTCCATCTCTTGAAAACCGTGCCTGTTCTAAAGTACCTCTTTACTAACAGATCTATAAATCAGTTGGATATAATTGACTGTAACGGCTACATTCTTGGCCAGTGGTGGTGGCTGATGTGTCAGAGGTTTTTCTGTTAATACAAAGTATAAACTTGAAATAGTATTGTTAAATGCCTAAGCACTTGCTGAACTGGAAAACTAAGAAAGTCAACTTGATTACAGCCTTAGTACCCAATTCAGCCAGCCATGCAATTAGTCTTGTATATAAACCTCTCTTGCACTTTCTGTAATGCAAAAAAAAAGCTATGAATTTATAGTATTTGTCTCAAACTGGAAATGTAGAAACTTATGAATGTTACACTGTTGTGTAAAACTGTAGTATCTCAAGTGATGTTACCTAATGACATTAAACAGAAGCAACTCTTCATCATCATTGTGGCTGTTGATTCTGTCCTCCATAACTCGATCTTGTGGTCTAGTTAATGCTAGGAGTTCAGAGCCTGCTGAGAATTGTTTCTCCCAGGTTCTTACTACAGCTGTCTGACAGCACAATCTGAAATCTTTCTGTAGCTTCTTGCATCAGGCCTGTTCAACAAATTCAGTCCCACAGTAAAAAATACAATCCCCAGGTGACTTAGTGAACTGTCACTGGAACTTGTCCCATTAGCTGCTCAGCCTGAGTTTGCAGCCACTAAAGATGCTTTCTTGCTCTCTTCTGCAGGACCACGGAAGCTGGATACTTAAATTCCATTGAAATCAGAAGTTTCATTGATTCAACTTGTCTATTGCAACTTTACAGGTCTAAACTGATGCTAGGTAAACTAAATTAGAAGATTTAGCTGATGTTCAGAACAAACTTTACAACTCCTTTAATGCAGTTGGCTGAAAAGATAATCCATTAGAAAATTACTGTTTCATACTAGTCTTTAGTACTGGAGACTGACCTCTAACCATCAGCCTGATGTGTCACTGAATAAATAGAATGGGTGCTTGCTCACTTACTTCTAATACCATTTGATTCATATGGTGAAGGGATTGGAAGCTACTGAAGGTGAAGAGCTCTGGAGCAGAAGCTCGCGCCGAGGGACCCTTTTTCCAGTGGCAAAACCGCAGCGGCGAGGCAGCAAAAAGCGCTGAGAGGCGACCCCAGCCGCCCCG